TGAGTCGGGGTCGACTGGACGGCACATAACAACAACAACAACAACAATGTAGGTAATGGGATTGGAAATTAATTTTGGGGTGAAAAGCAGAACTCAGCCTGATGGGGTTTAAGGTTCAGTAGTAAATGCAGAGTAATGGAGGCGCTGATGAGTTAGCATATAGTGGGGAGCCGGGAAAATAGGATACTGAGAAATACCTCAGCAGAGTCCTTGTGCTCTGGAGTTAAGGAGTGGGAACACCAGATATCCTGTATTTCTTCAAAGACTCTGAACCACTATTGCTTGAAATGAAGAGATTTTGATGCCTTCCTTTTGCTGTTGTTTTCCATTTTCAGTTGCCATTGAGTTGACTCAGACTCATGGCGACTGTGTGAATGTCCATAGTAGATTGCCAGATCTTTCTCCGAAGGTGCCTATGGGTGCACTCAGATCATCACCTGAGTTAATGGTTGCACCACCCAGGGACAGTTGTTAAGTAAGCTAGAAATACTCTTCCTTGAGCCTCTGCCTAGATCTGCAGAGCCTAGCATCTGTACATTCGTTTCATTTAGCTTTCCCTATGACCGATGAAACCAAGATCTCTTCCTTTTCAACCTGAGGGCTTGGTAAAATCACTTAACCTCTTTGTAGTTCATAAAACAAGGATCTTAATGTTTGCTTACTTTATCCTTATAAGCATATGTTTTTTATGCATCATTTCTTTGGTTTCTTACCCTTTAAAAAGTCTACCAGTGTAGGTCTGATTTTGTTTTAGCAGCCTTCTTGAATAATTCACGATTAATTGTGAAGTCTAGACAAAAACCTGTGGACTTCTTTCCTGACACACGTTAAGAACCCCAGAGAAAGAAACAGAGGTACCGTGGTCTGTTAGCCAGATTTTTCACTATTAGTTACTTCATTATACATGTTTTTGGAGTGACATTTCTACTTTTGGACACTAGATGGGACTAAGAGATGACTTGTTTTACAATAGTAGCAGAATTTCACAGCATTCCAACTTTTGAATTAAGTGTTGTTTGCCTATTGAGAACAATTTCCTCCTACTTTTATCTATTTAGATGACTTCATTGCAATTAAATGGTAACTTTGATCAGTATTTATATTGGCCAATATTTATGTTGTATTAATAATATTTATATATTATTAAAACCTTATTTAAGATTCAAGTAGTACAGGAATGATTGGCCATGATATGCCAAGGTGTTTTCTTTAATGACTGTTTATAGACCCCACCAATAAAATCAAAAGAGCTCATAATATCTAATGTCCTTACTTAAGTAACCACAGTGAGTCTGGCAGATAATTTAAAAACTATACAAATCTGTAGTATTATTAGATTAGGAAGGAAACTATTAAAACAAGTACGCTATTTGTTATTTTTTTTTTTTCACTTTTTAATGAAGGCATGTAATAAACACCTTTCCTTAAAATACAGGGAATCCATAGCCAAAATGACTGTCTAGAGATTTGTATCACTTAAAATAGAACACCTTAGCCTCGTTTACACAATTTATAACAGAATGTGTCTTAAGGAATTGTACATTGAAATATCTTTATGAAAATACGTATTACTGGAAATGTACTGATTGCTCTTTGAGGTTAGCATTGACCTAGCAGTGCTTCTTTTTCTTTCACATTTGTAAAACAATGGTGCACACACATGCATCCCTAGTATACAGATTATGAAAAAAAATAACATGGGGACAGTGGGGAGGAGATAACTAGTAAATAAAGGAATAAAAGAAACAGCTTTACAGTATGGCGATTCCTTCAAAAGTTGGAAATACAAATACCATTTGACCCAGCCATCCCATTACTAGGTATATACCCTAAAGAAGTGAGAGCCAT